TCATTGTGGCTGAGGGAGCTCTTAGGCTCAAAGGTGCTAGCTTGTTCAACTGGAGATGCTCAATGAGCAGACAATCCCCAACCAAACCCTGAAATTCAGCAATGCTCTGTACTTTTAGACTGTGGAACAGAAAACTCCAGTACTCTTCTTGAACCACTAGCCTTGTGTCCAGACCCAGTATTTGGTCTGGGCACACCTACCAACTCCATCATTATAACAACTTATTTGTGGCCCATCTGGCATCTGGCTTCTGAGTACATTCAACCCTGCTCCTGTGGCTCCTGTGGCTCCTGTGGCTCCTGTGGCTCCTGTGGCTCCTTGCTGTAACTAAGGGAAATGGCAAACTCTTTACCCTTCACTTATATGTTTTCCTTTCTTCCTCCCTACTTTCACATTTCTGGTCTTTTCTGTCTTTCATTATTTAATTAAAAACTTGCTGGCTGCTGGAGAGACAGCTCAGCGGTTAAGATCATATACTGCTCTTGCAGAGGACCCTAGTTCAATTCCCAGCAATCAAATTGAGTGGCTTACAATCACCTGTAAGTCTAGCTCCAGGGAATCCAATGCCCACCTCTGGTGTCTGAGGGCACTCACACTCATGTATACATGCCCAGACACAGACACAGGCATATACACATAATTAAAAATGAAATCAGGGCTGGAGAGATGGATCAGCAATTAAGAGTACATGCTGATCCTGCAGAAGACCCAAGTTTGGTTCCCAGCACCTATATGAGGCAGCTCACAACTGCCTGTAACTCCAACTTCAGGGGGATCCAACACACGATCACACTTGGTTTTGGTGGTACTAGGGATCAAATCCAGGCAAATTCCTGCATACTAGATAGGTACTCTACCAACTGAGCTACATCCCCATCCCTTTTTACTTACTTGTTAGCCAGGTTCTTGCTATGTAGTCTAGGCTGACCTCCAGTACCAGCCTCATGCCTTGACCTCCACAGTGCTGGGATGACATGTGTGATTGTTTATTTGTTTGTTTGTGACAGGTCTCATGAGGTATGATTCAAGCTGGCCTTAAACTCATGATCATCCTGCCTCAGTCATACGCCACCACGCCTGGCTTCTGTACCCATTCTGTATAAGAACAGCAGAGGTATTGAATTAAGGAGTCATAGGATGATCTCAACTTTATTGTATCAAGATCTTATTTCCAAATAAGGTCCCAGTCAGAGGATACTAAGGGTTGGGACTTCAACACATCTTTGGGTAGGGGTACAGTTGAACTAGTAACAAAGGGGAGAAGGTGATTTTACTGAATTTTGTGAAGGGGGCAGCTGTAACCCTGGCCTTAGGATCACATGCCACATTAGTAGATGCTTGGTCACTGCGAAGTGCTGGCAGAGCTGGACAAAATCAAATTCAGTCCAAGGGCGCCCTCTGCTGTGCAGGTGTGATAAGAGCAATCTGCCTCCTGTCTGCAACAGTCTGTCATTTTTCAGCTGTTCTGGGACATTAGTTCTCATACTGTGGAGGCCAGCCAGACTGGTATTGAGGGTCTGGAAGCCTTAAACTCTGTCTTAACATCAAATGAGTCTGAGTTTCCATTCTTTTTCTTCTCTTGCTGCCTTGCTCTGTGACCCAGAACTGGTTGCTCAGCCTTGAGTCTCCATCTCCGTCTTGGGGAAGTAGAGAGGATCACCCATCTTCTCACATGGTTCACTATCCATCAGTCACTTAATCAAATATTAGTCATATAAATGAGTTAATGACTAAAATGTCCTTAGAACCAGGAAACATTAAGTACCATGGATGTAACATATTCCTGGAACCTGCTGTTTGCTAAGTTTGCCGACCTTAGGTTCTCAATGGCCACATATTGCAATTATAATAATGATTAATAATGTAGTAACACCCTGATAATCAACTGACATTTCTAAGCCTTTTGATATCCAAGAAGATGTAATTATGAAGTCTCTTAAACTAAGCTCATAAATTCGGGGTGAAACATCTTTTCCTAGGAATACTCTTACTTCCATCAGGTTTTTTAAAAATATTTTATTTGTATGTGTGTGTGTGTGTGTGTGTGTGTGAGAGAGAGAGAGAGAGAGAGAGAGAGAGAGAGAGACAGAGACAGAGACAGAGACAGAGTCAGAGGGCAGAAGAAAGGGGTCAGATCCCCTGAAGCTGGAGTTACAAGTGGTTGTGAGCTGCCCAATCTGGGTGCTGGGGACTTAACTTGGTTGCTCTTGAAGAGCAGCAAGTGCTCTTAAACTACTGTACCATTTCTCTAGCACCTGCATCAGGTTTTTCCTCTATGGTTTCAAAATCAGTTGATGGGGGGAGGGCTCTGGAGAGCAGTATTCCTTCAGAACATCTTGAATGTACCTCTGGTGCCCTGAAGAAGCCAGACCTTGCTGTGTAAGGCTGAAGGGTTTTCTGGGATGGGGAACTTTCAATGGCAAAATCAGTGCAGTGTCACTGGGCATGGTACCTACCTTTAATCCCAGCACTTGGGAGGCAGAGGCAGGCATATCTCTGTGAGTTTGAGGTCAGCCTGGTTTACATAAAGAAGTCTAGACCAGCACAGGCAAAATAGTGAGACTCTGTCTCAAAGCAAAACAATACAAAAACAAAACAAAACAGAAAGACAACAAAGAAAAAACAAATAACCAAGGCAATCTCAAAAAAAAAAAAAAAAAAACTGGAACAGTTGGCCACCTTAACCCTCCACATCCTGATTGGGCTTAGTCCCAGGAGACAGAATCAACCCAAACCTAGTGAGAGATTAAGAGCTGACTGCTTTCAGTTTTCAATCTGATTTAGGCGTTAATTAGCTATGTGACCTTAGATAGTGTATTAGTTACTTTTCTGTTGCTGGGATAGAAATACTGACCAAAACAACTTATAGAAGGAAGAGTTTATTAGAGCTTACGGTTCTAGGGGAATTACAGTCCATCACGGTGGGGGAGGAGAGGTGGCTGGAGCAGGAGAAGCAGAGGTTAAGCCCTCACATCTTCAAGCAGGCACAGGAAGCAAGAGAAAGACTCGAGATCTGGTATTATCCCAGCATCTAGGTCAGGATGCAAATCTTCACCTTTGCAGAGATGAAAATTTACAGTGTTGAATCTACCTGATGGTGCAGGAGTCACCTCTGCATCTGCATGGACAGAGAATGAGCAGGTTTAAGAATCTAAATTAAATTCCATGAAGACAAAGAAATGGTGATTGTTCTAGGGTGAGCATGTCTCAAGCAGGACAGCTTCATGTTATACAAGCAGGTGTAAAGTTACAGCTTTCTCTAGAAAAGCAGCTTCACACCCGGGATGGTGCAGAGAACAGGACAAACCAATGGAGTATCCCTGGGGCATCCATCTTCAGAATAGTCAGACTCAGTATTTGGAGACAGAGTCTACCCGGCTGAACGAATGCTCATCTGTTGGCCACTGTGATGGTTAATATAGTGTCAACTTGACAGGATTTGGAATCACCTAGGGCACAAATCTCTGGGCATGTCTGTGAGGGACTTTTTAGATGAGGTTAACTGAGGTGGAGAGATCCACCCTAAATGTGCAGCAGTATTCCATGGGCTGGGCCCAGGGTGAATAAAAGCAGCAAGCTAAACACCAGTCTTCAGCTCTCTGTGACCTGCTGCCTCATTCCCTGCCAGGGTGGACTGTATCTTTGAACTGTGAGTCAAAATAAACACCTCCTTCCTGAAAAAACAAAAAGAACTCTCTAAGCCCTGCTCCCAGTTTTTCCTCCAGCATAGCCACACCTTTAAGACCTCTCAAAACAGTGCCACCAACTGAGGACAAAATGTCTAAATACTTGGAGTCTATGGGGGACATTCTCATTCAAACCATCACAGATAGTTAATGTCACTTCTTAGAGCTTTGGTCGATAAAGCCATGAGGTTGTGGAAATTCAGATTCCATATGCCGGCTCTTGGCTTGGACCTCCGTGCAAAGTTCTCAACTGTCATTTGACTGTGACTTTGGTCATTCAGCTCCTAGTTGGAAGCGTCAGAGTCCTACACTCCTAAAAGGGCACCGTTGGTTTGGGGAGACTGGCTTCAGGGAGATAAATCGGGTACACCCTTACCCTGGTGACACCTGGCCATGCTCAGGTGCCTTGGTGGTCATCTTTACCTCTGGAAACAGTCCACAAGAGGATCCAGACAAATGTGTGCTACTGGGTGGATACCAGATAGCTCCAAGATTACAGAGCAGCTGTGTGGGGCAGCATAAGTGAGAGGGGCAGTGGAAACAAAAGCTGTTGGTGAAGGGTGGGAGGATTAGGGGCAGAGGAGTGGTTTGAAATGGTACTGAAAATGGAAGGTACTTGTGGTCCTGAGTCTTATACACCCTATGATATGACACCCCCCTCCCGCAGCACATCCCTACCCCTCTTAGGATCATCCCTACCCCCCTAATTCCCACAACAGGAAATGGAGCAGTAATTGTGCCTGCCTCAAAGGTTTACTGTGGGAATCGTGAGGATTAGAGAGATGACAGCCTCCCTATCACATGCACACACATGCATGCACACATCTATTCTTTTGGGGGGGGCATTGAGACAGGGTCTCCAGCTGGCCTGGAACTGACTATATAGACCACCCCAGGCTAGCTTTGATCTCACAGAGATCTGCCTGCCTCTGCCTCTGGAGTGCTGGGATTAAAGACCACCATGCCCAGCTCATTCTTAAACTGTGTTCCTATGTAGTCACCATTTCCACCTACCAGGTGCCCTGTGATGTTAGTGCGGTGATACTCCCTCCTCCCTGGTCTGTTACATGAGATAATTCAAATCCCCAAGCCACTGAATTTTGGTGGAGTTGAGATAATGTTCAAAGCACACTCAGCCTAGTACCAGGCACATAACCAGTGCTCAGTCACACACATGATTTTCACATACCAGGTCGCTACACCCTCCTCCACCCTCCCCAACACTGTGCTCCATTCTACAATCACCCTTCCAAAGGTCTCACTGTGCTCTCTGGGTCCCCCAACCCCAGGGCCTTTCCAGTCACCACAGTGAAGTCGATTAACAAAAACACATAAAATTCTTTTACTTCAGAATCTCCCGTTAAAGAGGAAGCTGAAAAGAGGGGAGGGGGGTTTAACAACAACAACAAAAAAACAAAAAACAAAAACAAAAAAACAAAAACAGCAGAATTAGTCAAATACTGATCTCCCAGGGAGATGACCCCAGGCTGGCTAATGACCCCAGGGAAGCCCCGCCACACCCTGGTTCCCAGGGTGGCACCAGGAGGGGCCAGGGAAGGCCAGCGCCAGCGGGTCCCTGCCCAGCCCTCCAAGGGAGCAGGCAAGCCGCTGGTCCGAGGGATGTCACCACCGCAGGAAGTCCCGAAGGTGCTTCCAGAGCTTGGTGACCCAGAGATTGGCACCGAGGTCCGACAGGTACTGGATCTCGGGCGTGAGCATGCGCCGGCAGAGCTGCTCGTGCCTCTGCCCGATGCTCTTCTTGAGGTTGTAACCCAGGATGGACTTGGCGCCCAGCGGCTGCCACGGCTGCATGGCCGACTCCTGGATGGCCGCAGCGTCCACCGCCTGACCTCCGTCGATGCAGATGCGGCGCATGCGCTCGTTGGCGCTGCGCAGCGTGGCCACCTCGCTGGCCATGCGCCGGCGGCCGAAGGCCTCCACCTTGCGCCAGAAGGTGGCGTTGAAGTGGCGGTAGAGCTGGGTGTCCAGCAGGTTCCAGGCGGTGGCGCGGCGGTACAGCTCCCCCGAGAGGCGCGGCACTGGCGAGTCGCGGCGGGCGTTGAGCTTGAAGTAGAGCACGTCCTCCAGGTCCCAGCACAGCAGCTCCCGCAGTAGCACCAGGGACTCGTCGAAGTACTCCTGCAGCAGCACCAGGTGGAAGCGGCGCTCCACCTCCAGGATGTGCTCCTGCACCCGCGGGCTGCTGGGGTCCAGGCCGCTGTCGTAGCCCAGGTCGAAGAAGAGCAGGTTGCGGAGGTAGTGCGCGTTGTAGCCGCTAGGGTCGTAGTAGCGGTCGGGGTCCTGCAGGAACTCCGCCAGCTTGTCCCGGCTCGAGAGCTTCCACGTGAGGGGCACCATGGACCCGAAGTAGTGGAAGGAGGACTCGAAGAGGCGCGCAGGGTCGCGGATCACCGTGATAAAGGTGGCGCCGGGCGGCACCAGCCTGCGCACTTCCTCGTAGTGGAAGCGCATGTGGTTGCAGATGATGTTGAAGCAGGCCCCTGGCCGGTAGTCCTGCACCAGGCTGCGCTCGAAGAAGGATGGGTAGTGGAAGTCGTTGCGCCCATTCGGGAAGGCGAACTTGAGCCCGTGCTTCTGGCCGAAGCGGAAGAGGATGTTGAGCAGCGTGCTGCTGGCCGTCTTGTGCGTCTTCATGAAAACGATGTTTTGCTGGGGTTGGCACCCTCCGGCAGACCTGTTGGTCTCTGGCTCACTGGAAGCAGGGGAGCAGGGAGCTGTGGACTCTGAAGTTCTGGGGAGACAGAGGATGGAGAAGTGTCAGGAGTTGCAGGGGGACTGAGCTCTACACCAGGACTGCTGGTGACAGTGGTGGCAGGGGAGTCTGGGGCAGGGCCAGTGATTTGGTCTCTCTGGCACCTGTGATAGGGGAGAAACACAAGCCCCATTCATAGTGTTGGGGTGAGATCCGAGTGAGATCAGGCATGCAGGCTGTTGCTGAATTCCTGGCCTTTCTGTCTAAAGGATGACCTTGAACTTCTGATCCTACCTCCACCTCCCCAGTGTTAGGATTACAGGCATGGGCAGCTGTACCTGGTCTATGCAGTCCTGGAGCTTGAACCTAGGGCTCTCTGTATGCTATCAAGCACTCTGCCAACTGAGCTGCATCCCCTGCCTGAAATTGCCATTTTAAAGTTAAAGGAAAAAAGCATTCACCCACTGGCTGTAGTCTCCAGATTCACTTAATCCCTCCAACTAGCATAGGCCTATCCTGCGCAGCCCTGTGAGGGACGATGTGAAATAGTCGGGTGCACAAGACTGAAAAGAATCCAGGCCCTGTGCCAGCTGAGAGCTCTGGGCAACTCACACTTCACCCCTGCCCCCACTGTGGCCCTACTGCAGCCTCAGGTGATCATTCAAGCCCTGGACTCAATGTTAGGTGACACACCTGCTCTGTAAGGCAGGCTCTGTCCTTATCCCCTCTTCTCAAAGGTGCACACCCAGACCATGGTTGTACCAGGAGTTCCTCCAGAATGTCTGGCTGGCACAGCATGGTGCAGGGTGCAGAGCGGCTGTCTAGAAGAACGCTTTGGATCAGAAAGGTGCTTCAGCTGTTATAGCCTGTGGAGAAGCCCCTCCCCACTCCCACTCTTCAGTTCACTCACGTGGTAGCCACGTTGGGGTGCAGCGGGGGCACCACGTAGGAGTAAAGCAGCAGCAGAAAGCTGGTGAAGAGAGCTCCTAGCACCAGCCCCTTGGCCATGGACTCCCAGCGCTTCTTTGGCAGCAGCGGCATCTCGGGCACCTGTTGGGAACAGCACAGACAGAATACAGCAAGGGTCAGGGGGCTGGCCCCAGGGGCTGCCAGGGCCCACAGCAGGGATCTGCCTTTGCCAGCTCTGTGGAACCCCAGCAAGGTCCAGACAAGGACACACACACACACACACACACACACACACACACACACACACACGCACATACAGGAGACTGGCTGAACTCCCTGAGAGGAGGAGAAATGGGTGGAGAGAATGTTCTGTGGCATGATTCTAATTGTCAGCTGCTTGGTGAAGACATTAGTGGTCATTGCCTCCTTTGTAGACCTTTTGGGCTTTATAGTAAAGTGCATTCCTAGGGAAAAGGACAAAAAGAACCCCTCTCAGTGTCCTGTGAACCAGTCTGTTTATAGGAGAGAATTCTTTCTATTTCAGAAGGCAGAGTTAGCCTTTCTTGTCCCTGCACCACCCTCCCAGCTGCCCTGAGAGAAGCCCCTGCTCCTCTGGGTCAGTCTAGAGAGAAGGCAGATGGAGAAACTAAGGCTCATCACTTGGAAGAAGGTGGCTCAGATCACCCATTTAGCCAGACCACACTCCTTTGCCCTCTGACTACCAGCAGGCAGGACTGCTGGGTTAGATTTGAGTTTCAAATGAGCAATAAATTTAAAAATATATATTTAGCTGTATGTGTCCCAAATATTGCATGGGATATACTTATATTAAAATTGCTTACTAGGGCTGGAGAGATGGCTCAGCGGTTCTGAGCACTAACTCTTCTTGTGGAAGTCCCAGTTTTGATTCTCAGCACCCACGTGGCTGCTAACAACCATCCTAACTCCAATTCCAGGGGATCTGACGCCGTGTCTGACCCCCTCGGTCATTGCACAAGACAGATGCACTCACATGCATGCAGGCAATACACTCATACACATAAAATAGAAATAATAAATAAAATATTTTTAAAAATAAAAA